ATGGTAAATATTTTCCATCACTGAATAATCCAAGCAACTACACTTGAAAAATAAGGAAGATTTCTGAAAAGCAATAACATCTTGTAAAAGATAAGTGTGGTATAAAACACCTTAAAAACTCCAGGGCAGAAGTACATAGGTTTCAAATAAGGATACTTCATCAATAAAGACCAAACTCAAGAGCTAGTGTGGAAACTGATATTAAGAGAAGTACCTCAATTAAGGAGGATGAAAGAAATACAACAGCACTTCCAAATACAACAGTTTCGTAAAGGATAAAAATGAAAAGTTCTAGAATTTTTGAAAAACAAAATAATGTTTTGCTGGCAGAATTATCTCTAACTGTCTAATGAAACCAATCTCCTTAATGCATGGTATTTTTGTATCATAAACACTAAAAAGGATCTTGAAATTGACTTTAATGAATTTACTTTACAACTTTTTAAATCTATTTTACAAATATCAAGTCATGCACTTTCATCCAAAACTCAAAATATTATGAAATTTTAAGTCACTTTTAGGCCACAAGTCCTTGTCTTTTTTTCAACAACAAAGTACAGAAATCAACAAACATGCACTGAAAATAAATAATATAATATTTCTACCAAAATTATTATTAGTTACTTATAACTACACTAACAAGCATGAAATATTAACCACTTTATAACTCACTTGATTTCATTCAAGTTTCTTCTTTTACCTGGATATACTTAAAACAAAAAACACCAGCACTGGTTCAGTTATATATCACTATCTTCATGATGCATTTGAAAAAAAGAAAGAAAGAGAGAGAGGTACTTAGTTCATCAGACTTACACGTACACATCAGACTCTAAAGGTTTATAAGCACAAATGTTAAGTTTCTTTCTAAATATACCAATGATCCCTATACTAACACTTCACATCAACTATCAAACAACCTTCAATCAGGTTTTAACTTTTAACTGCTTTCAAATAACTAGCTGTGAAATTGATGTTCAGACAGGTGAGTAGGTCATCTTTATTATTATAGGTTCAGGATGAACTTTAAAACTACTAAAATTTTGTTTATTTAAATTACAGAAAAAAAATGAAAATAATTTAACCTTATCTTATTTAACATAAAAATGGTAGTTATTGTAAAACTCCTGCTTCTGCCAGTCTACATGATAATTTATTCTAACTCTGTTTAATAAATAAAACTACCTCAACTGGAGATGTGTCTAACCTTTTCAAATCTTAAATTTATAACCACTTGTCATACTACCTTTAGATTCAATACGAAAAATCTGATGCCTCAATTACCTTAATACTTTAATGATAATTTTTGTACAATGTTTTATGAAATTAGTAAATGGTTTATAGTTAAAACTAACTTATCATATTAATAGTTTTGCCCCTGTAAAAGTGTTTTTTCTTATCTACAATACTGTACAACAAAACAGCCACACATAGAAAAAAAACTAGCCCTGCTTTTTAACTTTGTTTTGAACAGAGGCAGTGGGATCTATTTACTCTAACTCTAGAAGAACTTTTATAGAAATCCTTGAAATTTAGCTATCTTTGAAGCATCTAGCTTCAATGCAGTTTAACAAGCAACTTAAATGACACTCTTACTGCTTTCGAAGGCAATGCCTGTGATATCATATGTGAAAAACCTACAACATCCACACAAATTACAACAAAATTAACCACTAATAATCCTTTCCAAACTTTAAAGAAATACTGTAGACCTTTGAAGTTATCATGTTAACTGTTAACATTCAATTGAGAATAATTTGTTTTTCCTGTGCAAACAGAAACTGTAACCCTGGTAAACAGCAATGCAAGCTACACACACACACACACACACACAC